TAATTAATGACGTCAAAATAAAATTATAGTAAAATTTAAGTTATTTACAGAATAATTCAATTAAGAGTAAAAAGTCCGGGGTACATTTTACTAGATTTTTATAGCTCTCCTCTCATAGATAGTTGCCAATAGAATGATTGGAACATTTAATATATCAAGCACCCCGCTTTTTACTCTGAATTGAATTATTCTGTTAATAATTTTATTATAATTTTATTTTGAGGTCATTAATTATGATTGATTGTTCGACCATCTACTATCTAAGCTCTTTGTAATTAAAATACTGTTATCAAATTATAGTATTGTCATCGGTCCTTGATACGTGTGCGAAGTTTCAAATTAATCAAACTTCTGGAAATTGGTGAAAATTACGTTCAAAGATTCCGCTACATACATACAGGCCAAGCTACTATAAAAAGCGTGTTAAAAAAAAGACCGCTCCGCATCTACGGAGGTGACTGGACAGTATTTGACTCTGGGTGCTATGCTAGTTTTTATCGTCTCTGGCAAAACGTCACCAGTACCATTAATGAAGCTCTCAATTTGACTTCTTAGGCTGGACGTTCATTGGAAGAATATTCGCACATAAAATGTAGGCGCGAATCTACTCAAACTTTTCGTCTACCAAAATTTTTATTGGAAACCGTATCGTCTGGCGAAAAAACTAAAAACGTGAAATCAATAAACTTGTCTAGCTGCAACAAAATTATATTATCATCGATATAATATGCCGTGTTACAGCAGGGACGGAGTTCGGTTGTTCCTCACCTGTTGAAGGTGTTTCGAGCATCTGTGGCCTGTAAATTAAATGATGAGAATGGCAACGTAGCGTTCGATCTGGCAACGCTGGAGGCGCCGGGCTTGGAGGGGAGACAAGGGAACATATGATCCGCCTTCAGTACAAGTTTGAACTTGGTTGTCCGTAACAAACGGAAACCCCTATCGCCTGACTTGAGTCCTTGTGACTATTTTTATGTTCCCAAAATTGAAAATCACCATATGGGACAGTTGAAAACATTCGATCGGCTGTAACTGACCAGCTGAATGCTTTAGGTATGGGAGTTCCAGCATAGCTGAACCTGGCGGCAGGCTAAAGTGGTATTCATTCCTAAACCGGGCAGAGCTAGATATACTGGTCCGAAGGATCTTCGTCCGATTACTCTTTCATCTTTTGTGCTTAAGACATTGGAAATGATAGTTGATAGATACTTAAGGAATGGCCCGCTGGAAAGGTGTATCATTCACGCAAATCAGTTTATACAAAAATCTGGGAAATCGACTGATCTGGCTTTACATAATCTGGAGAAGACTCTAGATCAGCGAGAAGTGGCACTTGTGGCCTTTTTGGACGTTAAAGGTGCATTTAATTGCACCACAATCGACTCTATCAGACATACCTTGGTTAGACATGGGGTTGGATCAATCCTAATAGATTGGGTCCTATCTACTCTGGAGGGTCGGGTAGCAACAGCTATGCTGAATGACGTAAGCTGCAGCGTCAGCGTAGCTAGAGGCTGCCCTCAGGAGGGAGTTCTGTCACCCCTACTGTGGTACATCGTTAGGCGCAGCAGTATGGGTGTCTACGTGCAAGCTCATGCCGATGACTTCAGCACAGTAGTTAGGGGACGTTTTTGTAGAACAGTCTCTGAAATTATGCAGGGCGCTATGCGCTCTGTGGAATCGTGGTCCAGGGAAGTCAATCTTTCTGTTAATGCTGGAAAGACCGAGCTGATCCTATTCACTAGGAGAAGAAGGATTGACGGTCATGCCGACCTTCTTTGGAACTAGATTAATTCTATCCCAATCAGTGAAATATCTGGAAATTATCCTGGATTGCAAACTGAACTGGAGATAGAATGTTGAATACAAGGTTAGCAAGGCTCGCAATTCAATGTGGGCCTGTAGACGTGTTGTCCGTGTAAGGTGGGGGCTTAAGCCCAAAGTGGTATACTGGCTCTACACGACGATAATACGTCCATCTCTCTTGTACGGCTCCCTGGTCTGGTGGCCTTGCATTAGAACTGATACAACTAAGGCCAAACTCAATAAAATTCAGCGTTTGGCCTGTAGTAGCACTACAAGCGCACTGCGAACGAAGCCATTGAGTGCAATGGCAGCTCTGTTGGATCTCCCACCGTTGGATCTGGTGATCCGCGGTGAAGCGAGAGTAGTCGCTCATCGACTGTGGAGTCAGGGCAGCTAGGCCTTCTTGAATCCTGTCAAGGGCCATCTTAGTCGAATTGCAAGGGGAGGACCCCGTCCTTCTATGCAGGGATGATCGTATTACCCCTAAATATCGCTTCAACCGCAAGTTTATTGGGGAATATCTAACGAGGGAGTGAGCGGGCAGGTCTGGTACACGGACGGCTCGGTCACCGAAGAGGGCTCAGGTGCTGGGGTCTCTGGGCCTAGAACTAGACTATCTCTGCCTCTTGGTGAATACACCACTATTTTCCGGGCGGAAATCTTTGCGATTCTGGCTTGTGTATCTCGCATTCTGGAGGAGGGTGGGTATAGGAGAAGAATAACAATCTTATCCGACAGCCAGGCTGCAATGAAAGTACTAAGTGCCTGTAAGATTAGTTCGAGTCTTGTATTGCAATACAGGGAGGCTTTGGATTGCCTCGCAGCGAGGCACCCGGTATCGTTAATGTGGGTACCGGGGCACGCTGGGATAAGGGGCAATTAGACGGCGGACGCTCTGGCGAAGACAGGATCAGCCAGCAATCTTGTTGGCCCTGATCCAGCTTTAGGAGTGACCGCGCATAGAGCTAGGAGGAAAATGGACACTCTCAGAAATTCAGAAGTATCTCCAGACATCTCGGCCAGGCACGGGAACTCATTGAAGAGCCCAGTGCTAAGGATGTACGCTTCTGCCTATCCCTGGATAGAGCCAACCTAAGGTTGTTGGTGTGACTATTGTCTGGCCATAACACGTTAAGGCGCCACCTGCGCGTGATGGGGGTGGCTGAGGATCCCTTGTGTGAACGCTGCGGGGTAGAGGAAGAGACCTCGGCGCACGTTTTGTGTCTCTGTGAAGCTCTGAGCTACTATAGGCGAACTATACTGGGGTCCATTACTTTGGACCCTCAGGACGTCAAGGAGCTTGGACTCAAGGCGATTCTCAACTTCGCTAAAAGGGCGAGGCTTGTGATCTAAGGAATGTAGAGGTGAATAAGGGCCAGCTTAAGCGGTATATGGACTGGCTCCTTATGGTGGCCGGAATGCCTCTAATTTCACGATTCATTCATAACATGCCGAAGAAGTTGTAGTTATAGCGAAAATAAGCAACGTCTCTAGATTTTTGCTGAAATATGCAACAAACAGCGAAAATAGGCTTAATATGCAAATGCATATAATTCGGTCTCTAATAATCACGATAACAATATCCACTCCGAAATGAAAGCAATAATCAAATCCATCCCCGTTCTCGTTTACACCAATTAGGTTATTCATCCATCATAATAGCCACATAGACTAATATTTAATTTGGTCCTTTTTACCATATTAACTAAAAATACCTATATAACATTAAATCGATATTTACAGCAGTTCAATAATATTTGCGCAAGAGGCAATGTTATCGTCCTTGTTCCTGTTCATTACCTTGAATCACGTCCTTCTAATCTTCTATGTTTTGGCACACGTAAACATGTTTTTCCGGAGCTGATATGCGTGTGTAGACACCTAGGTACAAAACAGAATTTGTAAGTCGAAGGTCTGACCCATTTTTTACCCGCTTCTACCGTGAATCGCAAATACGGTGCAGAGCTTGTAAATCGCGTGCTTTGTGGTATCTATGGTAGCTGGTGTCATGTGACGTCATCAATCAATCTTGCTCTCCAATAAGATATTTATCTAAATAAGGAACTTCTAGGTAGCGCAGCTTTGTCATTTAAAAAAAAAAATCAGTGCTGTACTTTGCTTCAGCAGTCTCTGGACAAACGGATGTAAAGTTTGATGCATATTCCTAGATCTGGTTAAGGCATTTGACACTGACAGATGATTTGCATAATGTTGGCGCAAATGCACGTACGTGCAAATAGCGCTCCAGCTTGATTCATGCCACGCGCCTGCGCAATAGCTTCTTTTTTGTAAAACATGCAGAAGTTTAAGGAAATATCTTACATGTACAAGCCTTGACATTTTCATAGGTTCTTATTGTTACCAAAACTTACAAAGTTGCAGATAGCCGTTCATGTGGTGTAATTGAAAGTCTTCCTTCTTGGTAATGTGTGGAAATTTTAATACATATTGGTTAACTTGTTTAGCCTAGTTCTCAATTAATTTAATATACAGGGTGGCCCAACGAAAAGCTCGCACCCCACCCTCACACTCCTGGTAATTTTTTGGAAAAAACGCTGGGACACGTCAATTTTAATTTCTAGGAGGACGTCTTTTCATCTATAACCGTACAATACAGTGTGATCAAAAAATAACAATAATGTTGCGTTATTCTTTAGATTTTTAAATGGAAACCCCACTTTTTTTAATCATCAGATTTTCCCTGTTTTAAGTAACTTTTGTATAATCAACTTTATACCTATCTTCAGTCGTTGTGAAGCTATTTGAGTTTATAATAATATTCGGCTAACTCAATACTGATTATAATGAAATGCATGGCAAAAATAATAATCATGGATAACCAACAAGAACATTTAGCGTCAGTCAGTGTCATCGTATGTCATAGAAAAACTTTGTTTTTCATTTTAAATTGTAAAGTTACCTACCTAGTCGGCTTATTCAATTCAAGAATGGGTAGAAATAACAAAACTGCATTACCAAAATAGGAGCATTGCTGGAGCTACTGCCCGGTTGTTTAATGCGTTATTAAGTATGTGGCTAAGTTGATAATTCGGACTTACTCAAAGTGCAGACCAGTGACAATGGCAGTATATTGTCAAGTGCAGATTATTGACAATAGTGGTCATTGTGACTGATCTGTATTTTGAAAAATGCTTTAGTGATAGATACATAGAGTTTTTTTATTTATTTTCCAGAGAGTAAACCCCATTTAAGATGCTCGTGGCATGGCTTCTACTTTCGTTAAACATATTCCATTACGCTAGAAGTCAAGATGATTCTTTGAAAAGTGCTATTGAGGCCATTGACAGACGTACGAGGGACCTAGAAGACTATGAGGACAATGAATATGGATATACGCTGAATGCTCCTGAAGGAGTTACTTTTCTTAAAAATTATCCATTAGGTAAGTTAAAAAAAGGAAATTGTAATTAGTTAGTAGTAGCATGATTCAACTTGATTTATGGTGCCAAACAATAAGGTTACAAACTCTTGTATCTATATTGAACACAGAATGACAGGTTTCTAAGAAAGATTTCTTAAAAAACGCTACTGCAAATTGGGTTTTCTTAAATAACTTGTGAAGGGCGCTGTATAATTCAATGGAATTTTGACAACATACTAACCTCACATGGTGGTGTCCATGAAAGACTGGGGGAGGCTTTTCAGAGTTCAGGCAGTTCAAAAGTGTGAGTGTATAAAAATTACATATACGTTTATGACACCAATACCATTATTTTGACATGATCACATCACAATTACGTATGATCGTTCGAAGCAGTGTACTATATAAGAATTATGAAAAAGAATAGCACGAAAAGTAGATCATACATAGTATACAGGGTGTTTTCAAAGTTGAGTCATTTATTTTAACTGCTTGTAGGACTCGTCAAAAGGAGTTGATATACCAAAAATCACCTATATAAAAGTTGCATAATAAAAGAAATAGTGAAAGAATAAACATTTCGAAAAATAATAACGTTAGTATACAGATTTTTTGATATTCTCGACCACTGCCGTGTAAATTTGGCAAACTTTTTGGGTTATTGTATGGTTTTCAGTACTACTCTTTGGTTCGATCAGTCGTTTCAGTCTCTTAATAGTGCGTATACTGTCATTTGTCTGATTATTTTGTGCGAGAAAATGGCTCATGCTTACAAAAACAATGAACTAGTGGACATAATACTAACATATGGACAGTGCCAACATATACAGGGTGTTAGAGAAATAATGTTCGTAACTTCAAGAGATGATGCCTTGCATTATTCTAAGCAAAAAAGTTCATTATAACTTATGTCCGAAAATCAATCGTTTTCGAGGAAAGTGAGTCGTAAATAATCAATTTTTTCCAAACATTTGGCAACGCTGCAACGCAATCGCGATACGAGCGCACGACGACTGCAACTGATTCATCGAATTGTTCACGTTTGTATGATATTTTGTTGAAAATATGCCTTGAATTTTTGGCTACTTTTACGCAATTTATTGTGGCTAATATTTTTTATTTAATAACGCCTTCAGTACATTTACTTAAAAAAAATGACAGAACTTACCGGTACGTGGCGATACAAACCAACAATTTCCACGATTATGTCACTTATTTGAAACAATGCGAGGCACGAAAAAGAAAAAAAACCAACATCCGTAAATCACATAAAGTTACAATTGAATGTATTAGTAATCACAACACGCGATGATACATGCAGTGCAGGCGGAGTACGACGTTGCCAGTTGTGTGAGGGATTTTGTTTGCTTTTCTTCGGAAAATTGTATTTAATAAGCAAGAAAATTATTTTGTGAGAGACTGTTAATTAATAAATGTATTGAGACAATTTACGCTGTTAGGCATAAGAATTTAAATTATTAAGGTGCAAAATTAATTTATTTCATGACTAAAAAGAAATAAGTTCAGCATTTTTTTGCTCCGAAATGGTTGAGTTTCGGACATAGATTATAATGAACTTTTTTGCTTAGAATGCAAGGAATCACCTCTTAAAGTTACGAATATTATTTCCCCAACATCTCCAATCCGTACATTAAATGCATATCAGAATATTCATCAAACGAATACTCCATGATGTTTAACAACTTATTGTCAACTTAAAATTATTCATTAAGTTTAAAGCAATATTATGACAAACATTAGAAACTATAGCAACGCTACTCAGATATTATCCAAAGCAACTTGATTATTATGTTATAAAAATCATGGTACAAATAATGCATTCGAACCTTTAAAAACAAATAGCTCGAAAACTATTAGCTTTAGACACTTCTAACAAGCAAACCTTCTCTGTTGCGGAAATACGAGAAAATAAGATTTTCCAGCCAGTTGTTGTATACAGGGTAGCACAAAAAACTTATAATAACTTATTTACCGAAATAGTGCTGTAAGTGGCAGCCTCTAGAAGTTGGGCCATAAAAAATGACAGATTCTTGTTCCACATACTAGAAAACCTCCATATACCAAATTTTATGCCAATATCTGAAATACTTCTCAAGAAATAAGGAAAAATAGAAAATAAAATTGTAACTTTGACACCCTGTTTCTCGCAAACTATCAACCTTTTGATTAAGGTATGTTTAGGTCAGTTCACATATGTTGGTCTGTAGTGTCTCCAGTTTCGAGATTTTCCAACCGTTCGCAGACACCCTATGTGTATTGTCAACTCGTTCTGGAGCACGCTGCATAGCTATATTATTTTACATTCCTCTTATTATCAATTTTTATTTTCCTTATTATCATCGATTCAACTGTACGGGCCAGCCGAAGCGTCAATAAAATTAATTCATCCTTTACACGCCCTTAAATATTGAACAACGAAATAAACGAAATATTAATTTAAAGTACCCTACGCCAGAAGCGTTCAATAGTATCTCTTTATTTCAGAGAGGTCCTACGATTTTGGAAGACCCGATAGCTACCTAGAAGATGGTTATGATCCTGATTTCACCAATAAGAGGATCTCGTCCTCCTTCCGTGAACGAGTTGAGCAGGACAACCAGAAACAACTGGAAGAATTAGTTCACCTTATATCTTCAATGGACGACAAAGGAAGATTCAGCGATGATGACTATGAAGATATTATAAAGCAACTGTGGACCACCTACCGTAAGCCACATGTTAAGAATAACTTCAAAACTTCTAGAGTTGACAAGAAGTACTACTATCCTCAAATTGGATTGGATGGTGGCCGCATGACAAAACGTAGACCATACACCGATGAGACGTTTGATATTCCATACTTCCGTCGTAGCGAAGACGACATTGAAGACGAAGATGACGAAGATTATTCTTCCAATACATTGAGAAAACGTTTTGATCGCACCGATTACAAAATAAAGAAGTTACGGGCAATGTATAACAACAACCCATATTATAAATTGAAACGATTTGCTATAGCTAAACGCAGCAATGGGCCTACTGAGTCTGCTAAGGATGAAAAACATGAACATCAAAGATCCAGTGTCAAAAAACAAACAGATCCAAAAGTGCAAGAAGAGCTTAATGATATTTTTGGAAATAAAATTTCGGATAGCACTACCAAAGGACCTGATACTAAAGCTACTACTAGTAAGAAAGAGACATCGATGACCACGACGATTAAACCAACTGGAGAAAAAGATACGAAAGAAGATTATCATCCATTATCTCTAGTAAGCCAGAAGCCTTTGCAAATCAAAAAAAAGTCTATTGACTGGTCTGATTACTTTGGGTTAGATAGACGTAAGAAGTCTGATTCTAATGATTTGGATAAAGAGTGGCTAATAGAAAGGTATCACAAATCCGTGGCACTGACAAAAAGAAGAGCCTCAGAGCTTCCTATGACATCTTTCAGAAATCATGATTCAATGCCCAAAAAGAATTTTCAGAAACCAACACAAATAACTGTTGAAGATCTAGCATCGGACAAGTTGGAGGATCTTGATGCCAAACTTAAAGATATGGAGGATGATATTATAGACGGTGCCCTGAAATACACTGGAGCACATGAAGGCACGGGAGATCCTAATGAAATTCAAGAGATCAAAGATAAAGTAATCTCAAGACTAGCAGCTGCGTATAGCTTAGAAAAAATGAGGAACGCCTTCGAAGAATATAAGCTGACAGTTGGAAAACAAGAGCAGAAGAATAAAGATAAAGAAGATGATAAGCTTCTGTTTGCTGAAGAAAAAAGGGTAGCTGTGCCGAGAAAACAAGTTCTAGATGAAGATATCCCGGAAGCAGATAATGCCATTCAGTGTCCTGATGGTGATGATGAGTGTAAGCAGAATTACAGGACACCAAATGAGATTATAGAGAACCATTTTGGAACAGGTACGTCAATTTTTAAAGATCACGATAAATCATTTTGTATCTCGTACTTGATTATAACCTTAATGATTCCTTGTTTATTTCGCTTTCAAGTTTTATCCTCATTAGGATAGTTATTGTATTTTAAAAGCTGTGAGTTGTCGCTTTGCAAGTAAACTACGAGAAAACATTACCTATGAAGTTTTTTAATAGAGTACGAACGACTTTTAATAAATAAAAGTATACCTTTAACATCTGTGAAAGCCTATGAATACTTAGGTTTCACCATTGATCGCCACTTGATGGAATGTTCGAACTAACCTTACAAATATCCCACGACAACTCTTATATCTCTTACAGGGTGGCCGATATGTAACTGACTGGTTTGTATCTTTTATTCAACCTTAGAAATTATATATGAAAAATAATATCAGACAAATGTCCGCCTCTAGATGCCGCGCAAACCTGAGCCCTCTTGATTACATTTTCCGTCACTTTTTGGTAGTTTTCGAGAGGAATATTTTCAATTGATTCCGTAATATTGTTCTTCAGCTGCTCCACAGTATTTGGTTTGTTGGCATAAACCCTATCTTTCAAAAATCCCCATAAAAATGTCAGGAGCCGCTAAATCAGGTGACCTTGGTGGTCAGCTTACATTACCAAATCGAGAAGTTAAACGTCTCGGAAATATTTATTTTTTATTTTATTTACCAAATTTACGGGTGACCCAATTTTTATAAAATAAAATCACGAAATGGGAACAACATTTTTAACATGCAAGCTCACAAGGCATAATTATAAAAATCACAATTTAAAAGATAATTTTTAAAGCCTGAGAGTGTACAGGTAAAAATGTCAATATTAGACTGAGCTAAATTTATAACACCAAATGCTCTATCGAGTGGAGAGTGCTGACCATAGGTTGTGGGATGGTACTTAATCGCAAGCATACTATTATTACGCAATGTTCTACGGGGTACATTAAGATTTATTAATGTTCACAAAGTTTCGCAATTCGTGATCCCCAATAAAATCTCCAAAGCGAAACAACCATCTATGCTCCAATGTAGGTAAACGCAAATGTTCTAACATGTCAGCTCTATGATATTCCGTCATGTTTAAGCACTCTTTAATGCTGCAAGACGTAAAAATTTATACTGGACACGCTCTAAATCATCTTTATAACACTGGTACTGAGGGGACCATACTACTGTGGCATATTCTAAATTTGATCTTACCAAGGAGCAATATAAACTTCGGAAGGTATTGATTGAAAAACACTTATAGTTTCTCCAAACAAAGCCCAGCATCTGTATGACCTTTATACTAACTTTGAGAACATGGTCTGAAAAGTTAAGCCGTTCATCAAAAAGCACTCCAATATCCCTAGCGGTAGCCTTATAAGAGAGAGTATCATTATTTAATCTATAGCCACTTGAAATTCTACTCCCACTTTTGAAAAACTCATGAAAAAGCATTTATTAGAGTTCAGATATAAGTGATTAAGCTGTGTCCACTGCTACAGCGCATCAAGGTCCCGCTGAAGGTCCACCATGTCATCTTTCTCCGTTATTGTCCTGTAAATTTTCAAGTCATCAGCAAACCTAGTTCCTTTGGAATGAATAAGATGAGGGATGTCATTCCAAACAAAATGAAGAGAAGAGGAGCACAACGGGACCCCTGAGGAACCCCTGATGTAATCTTGAATTTCGAAGGCAGATGTCCACTAATTTTAACAGATTGAGTCCTACCCTTAAGGAAGCTCTCCAACCATCTTATAGTGTTTTCTAAAAAACCATAAGCTGACAGCTTTGCCAACAGAATGTCGAAGTCCACTCTGCCGACGGCTTTGGAAAAGTCTGTGTAGATTGCATCCACCTGGTGGCCATTTTCCAAGGCCTCCAATAGATTAACTTTACAAGACACCAAATTCTCCACAGTTGATCTACCCTTAGTAAACCCAAATTGACAGCTAATTACAAGCCCACGCTAATACCAGTTAAGTTGATATCAAGCTATCAAAAAGTTTCGGAATTGATGACTGGGTACATACACCTCGGTAATTGGTAATATCTTCAACATCTCTTGACTTAAAAATTGGCTTAATATAACTGTACTTCCAAGTGTCAGGAAAAACACATGTTTGGATGGACATGAAAATAAGATGCAAGCGTTCAGTAAGTATAAAGATACATTCTTCAGAAAAACCTATGGAATTTAGTCAGGACCCGAGCTGAACTTCACTGTGAGACTTAAGATTTTATTAAATACTTCCTCAAGAGAAATTTTGTTTAGTAGTATATCTCCTGTCTTCTCAAATAAAAAAGAGGGTACATGACGTACAGAACTATCATATACACCACTAAAGTGCTTTGGAAACAAATTACTCATTGTCTCCCCATGTTCGCAAAAGATTCATTGTTTCCCTACCTGTGTGATAAGCTATTCCGTCCTGCTGGAACCCCATGTTTTGCAGGTTAAATTGTTGGATTTGAGGAGCCAGAAAGTTTTGCATCTTATCACGGTAGCGCTCGCAGGTAAGAGAATTATCTGCAGCGTCTTCAAAGAAGAGGTGTCCAATGACACCCCCATCCAAACACCGCACCAAATTGTGAGTCGACGAGGATGTAGTGGTCGGTGATGGATGACACGAGGGTTCTCTACTGCCCAGATATGCTTATTAACAATTCCGTTCATATGGCAGTGGGCTTCATCGCTCATTATCAGTTGTCGGTACAAATCGTTATTTTGGATATTAAGCTGCAATATTGCATGACAATAGGCTGTAGTTCTTGGGTTAACTGAATTTTGTATGGCCGCAAATGCAAGTATTTTATTAAAACAGTGCATAATGACGTGTGATGAATGCTCAGTTCTTAAGAACGGTGTCTCGTAGACGTCTTAGGGCGCTCCACTACACTTTCACGAACTCTCTCGATATTTTACCGGAGTACGAACAGTTTGAACACGGCCCGACCTTGGCAAGGCTTTAACTTCACCTGTTTGTTCAAATTTTAATCGACTTTTTAGTAAAACGTTTACGGACGCGTTGTGGGATCGTGTAGCGCTCCATGATGAATTGGACACATGTGCTTTAAATAATTACTGCGGCGCCGCCTACTGAAATGCGTGTAACAAAATGTCGCGCGATTTAAATCAGCCAGTTATATATTGGCCACCCTGTATAAGGTGCTCACTGACACTACCCAATAGATTGAAATTTTTAATAATATTTTTTTGAATATTTATATTTATATTTTCAAAACACTTGAACCTCGAACAATTACAATTCATGAAAAGAAAATCGCAACTTTTTAATTTCATACTCGATTCTATCAGTCTTCTTTCTTTTTGTAGATTTGTTAATAATGCTCTGATTATTTTGAAAATTATCTGAATCAGATCCATACCCAACTTCAAATTATTATAACGCAAAGCTTCTATAAGTTCTAACCTCATTTTGGACACAATCTTTCTTCTTTGCCCGTATGATATTAAGATTCCCAGTTATTTCCATTTCGGCCATAAACAAAAATGTCTTTTTGACGTCATATGTTTACTTTTTTAAAGGCTAACGATTGGGGATTAAAATACCATAGACATGGATTTGCTTCCAGCAGGGAACTAAAAAAAAATTATGACATTCCCTATATTTGCCTGTACCCTTCATATAAACTATAACTTTCACTAAACGACTCAGAGAAAAAGATTGGATCTACTTGATTCAATTTTAAATATTTTGGAAAAACACAGGGTGGCGCATCGAAAACGAAACAGACGCATTTACTGGCAGCTCAGGTTTTTTTTTAAAACGCTCAGACCCGTCGATTTTGTTTTCGAGGGGGACACAAGTTTGGCAAAAAATAACCAACCCTAAAATCTCAAATGGGAAGGGAGGTCGAGTGATACCTTATTTTAAAGGTCTTTCAATTCCCTTTATAATGATGTAAAATTAATGTACTTCAGTTCAGTAGTTTTGAAGATTTATTGATTTAAAGCTTAAATAAAACTAATACATCATCATTAGTGGAGATCAATACATTTGGCAGCAAAGTAATTTAAAAATGAAGAATGAACTGACCCGTTAGGCAAGTAAATGTTGAAAATGGCCACCATGCAATATCAAAGATTTTGCTCAAAACGTTGCCGCACATTTTGCAATATTTGAGGAGTAATTTGAAGGCACTCATACACAATTCTTTGTCGCAGGTCTTCTAATGATGTTGGCTGAGTAGCATAGATTTTGCTTTTTAAATGACCCCACATAAAGAAATCCAAAGGTGATAAATCTGGCGATCTTGGGGGGCATTCAATGGCACCTCTTCTACCAATCCATCGATCTGGAAACGTCTGATCTAAATATTGTCAAACACGTAATGCGTAATGTGGTGGGGCATCATCCTGTTGGAACATCAACCTATTCGCAATGTACCGCCGATCATTCTGATTTTCAATTATGGCTGTTAATGCAGGATCTATGGCGTCTTCCAGTAATTCCAAATACATTTCACCGGTCAAATTTCCAGGTGAGAAAAAAGGACCAACTAAATGATCGCCAAAAGTACCAGCCCAAACATTTAATATTTGTGGCTGCTGTGTATGAACCTCATGATAAATTCTGAGATTAGAATCGGACCAATATCGGCAGTTATGACGATTTACTACGCCATTTAAGAAAAAGGAACATTCGTCGGAAAAGCAAGTGTTGAATAGAAAATGTTCATTGTTTATAATTCGTTCACTCATATCTTTACAAAATTCTAATCGCCGATCAAAATTGTCTTTATTAAGTTCTTGTACCAGGTGAATTTTATACGGATGAATACTATGGGCCTTTATAATCCCTTGGACAGTACGTCGACTAACACCACACAAAGTCTGCAATTTGCGTATACTTAACGTAGGATCTACATAAACTTGCCCTAAAACCCCTACTTCTATTGCTTCGTTCCTTATGGGATTTTCAATGTTGCGTTTTTCATTGGCGACTGACCCAGTTTCCCGAAATTTAGCTACAAGTTCTAGAACATATTTTCGATGCACGTTACTGTTTTTATGTCGCTCATTAAATATTTCTGCTGTTCTATTAGCGCACTGATTATTTCCGAAAAATATTTCGATAATTTCAACTCTTTCTGCTGTGGAATATACCATGGTTAATTTATGTAATAAAGCGTCACAAGTTATTTTAGCAACAAAGTTTGGTCAAATCAATCGCAAACTATGTACTAAATTCCTATTTAAAATAAGTACGAGATATTTCCTTATTTTTCTTCAAGAAATAACTTTTTTGCCACAAAAAAACGCTCCAATAGCTATTTAAGAAAATGATAAACAAACCATGGGCGTAGTGAAGAAAAGCATTTACTTATTAAGTAAATTCTTTTAGTCAAATTTCTTCTGAAAGTAGTACAAACTAATCTGATGTGCCTATTAAAGTCTACTTTAAGCTTTATATCGATAAATCTTCAAAACTACTGAACTGAAGCTCATGTATTTTACATCATTATAAAGGGAATTGAAAGACCTTTAAAATAAGGTATCACTCGATCCCCCTTTCCATTTAAGAGTTTAGGGTTGGTGTCACCCCCGCCCAGGGGGCTGCACGTGTTAACGTGATTTTTTGCCAAACTTGTGTCCCCCTCGAAAACAAAATCGACGGGTCTGAGCGATTTTCCAAAAAAAAAACTGAGCTGCCAGTAAATGCGTCTGTTTCGTTTTCGATGCGCCACCCTGTATATTGATAAAACTAATCTTAACAAGTCAATTCAATAAATGCACCCATTCAGGCGAAATAGGGATTTTGAATATAAGTGTCAAGTTTTTGTTTACCCCTTTAATTGTGTAGTAATCTGTTGCAATAAGCATGATGTAATTTGTTGCAGAAGAATGCCCAGCTATTGAAAAGGCCTGCAATGATGTGGCCACCATAATTGGTCAGTATGGGCAAGTCCTTAGAAGCGCTTGTACCATGCATCAAATGTGCTTGTTATGCGTAAGTATTTCAAACTTGGGTAACTGAAACATATCGCACGCCACTGCCAGCGCGGCATCTCTTTGAACACGGTGAGGAACTTTGTCAATTCAAATGTACTGTCAGCTGTAGCGTGCGAGGTGTGTTATTGCTATCTTCCTTTTTGGTACAGGTTATACTGCCTTACAAAGTTAGTAAGTGTTAAGACATTTCTAGTGAATCCTGTTCATTAAACTACACCACATTCTTGTGTATCCAGACAATGATAGCCTCTAGACCTGTGGATTGAGCTTATCGTCTTGGGGAGAAGATAAATAACGTGTAATAGAAAAGTAGAAGCTTTTTGTTTCAAGCTTTTCTAGTGCTAGCTTGACATTTCTCTGCCGAAAGGTGTTTTTCCTCATGACCCCTTTTTTTTAAATAAACTCCTCATTTTTATGTTGGAATTGGAAAAACCTGGAAATGTTATGTCCGAATGTCATCTTGATCTCAAAGTGACGGTCGTATCAATGTTTTTTTATGCCAAAATTGCAGAGGGAAGAAATTTGCCATTTATGGTCATATTTGGAAGCAACATTTCTTTCCAATTCCGGTGTGAAAAGTGGGAGTTTAATTTGAAAACATTCGCTTGTCCTTGAAATGGCTTTGAAGGTCATATTCATGGTCTTGCGTAGTCGTCGGGGTCTTCCAAAGGCGATCTTAACAATCACCTTAACCATTACCCCCAATTTTTTTTTAAATTAACACCTCATTTTTACCCTGGAATTGGAAAAAGCTGGAAATGTCATGTCCGAATGTGATCTTGATCGCAAAGTGACGGTCGTGTTAATGTTTTTTATGCCAAAATTACAGAGGGAATACATTTTCTATTATCTATAGTCATAGTCAAGGTCATATTTGGAAGCAAAATCTCCTCTTTCCAATTCTGGTTTAAAAAGTGCGAGTTTAATTTGAAGACATTCGCTTGCACTTGAAGTGGTTTTTGAAGGTCATGGTCATTCGTAGTCGTGGGGGTCATCCAAAGGCGACCTTGACAATGACCTTAACCATGACACCCAATTTTTTTTTAAATAAACCGCTTATTTTTAGTAGGTAGAAATTTTATATTTAAACGTGCAACATTTTGACATGACTTTGATGATTATGGTCAAGGTCACCTTCGGATGACCCCCACAAAGCTAACAACATTTTTGCTAAAGCAATTTTTTGATGTCTTGTTTTGACCTTGAAGGTTATTGTGATGGTCATAGTCAAGGTCATATTTGGAAGCAAAATTTCCTAATATTTCCAATCCCTGAGTATAAAGTGGGAGTTAAATTTGAAAACAATCGCTTGCCCTTGAAATGGCTTTGAAGGACATTGTCAAAGTCAACTTTTCTTCTAGGATTCGTGGTTTTTTGAAATATTTGATTCTGGAAATGGAAAAATTCGGAAATTTTGCGTTCGAATGTGACCTTGACATCAAACTACATTTAAGCTCAAGGACCTTGACTTTAAGGACGTACAAACGTGATCTTGGCCTTAAAGTTAAGGTCGTCAAGCTTAAATGTCATTTGAGGTCAAGTTCACATTCAAAAGCGGAATTTTCTGCGTTTTCTATTTCCAGTGTAAAAATAGAGATTCTGAATTGACCTTCGAGGTTATGCTCAAGGTCAATTCCACATTTGAGTGTTCCCCACAAACCCCAGTGCTGTCGAACATTTTTGCCACAGTAAACTGTTTACAACGTTAATTAGGCTTCAAAAAGGCCTTGTAGGAAAATAGTCATGACGATGGTCATTCTCAGACGTGAAATTTCCTCCTCTTTTCAATTCCGACATAAAACATGGATGCTCTATCTGAAAATAGTCACTAGGCTATCAAATGAAATTCAAGGTCATGGTCAAGGTCATCATCATTCTGCCCCCTCAAAACCCTACAAGTTTTGCCTGAAACTATTTTTTCTAGTAAGCGTAGTTTTCGAAATATTCATGTGGGGGATTAAAATGGGACACCCTGTATATTATGGGAGCCAAAATATTAATTATAACAATATATTTCCAGAGTAACAACAGCTGGTTTTCCCCGACTCGTCAGTGCAACACCTTGTTCTTAGACAAGGCGTACGACCTATGCAAAGGAAACATGGCCTGCCAAAAGGTAGCTCAACGATCAGTAAGATATTTGATTGACGTTCACCGTTCTTTGCATGTTCAACCTACTGAGATCAACGACTGCGAGTTGGCCTGTCCAGATATAGAATCTAGTAACTTCGATCTTTCTTCACGATAAGCTTTCGTCTTGCTATTTTGATGTAATACATGCTACTCCATGATGTTTTAGAGCAGACTGAAGGTATTTTGTTGATTCAGTTGTATTGGAACTTGAGTTTCCATCAGGGTGTCTCAGATTTTACTAGCGAGATATCTTTGCATTGTTCATGCTCATAACTTATTGATGTTGAACCTAATACCATCAATAATCCTATTAGTAACAAAATAGCGAAAGTTAGACATTTGATAGCGAATTTACGAAACCATTTTTGCCAAAAGCTGTCAACAGCTTTTCTATAAAAAGTTTTGACTATAATGTATTGACTTAATCTTCTTTGCTGTAAACGTTTCAATCAATAAGCTGATCTTCAGTATAAAGACAATATTGTCATTGTACTGAAGAAGATCTCTTTGATTGTAGGTTTACGTTTGTTTGTCAATACATGTGGTTTTATTGGCTAGACAAGCATGGGGGATTCCTGACATATAAACCACAGGACAAGTTTCAGATGTTACATTAAGTTTTGACTATATTTCAATTTTCAGAATAGCAGTGGATTATAGGATAGTATGACAGGCCTAAAACTAGATGTTTGGATGTTTCTTGTTTTTTATAAAATGGTGAAATGTTGGTTCCACTTTGATATGTTCACAGCCTTCTAGTTCTAAAAAAATTACCATTGCAACTTTTAGGTTAATTATAATTGAATCGGTGATTTTAAAAAACGCTTTCTTGGATAGATGCGTATTCTGGCTGTCACATTCTTCCCTAGTCAAAAAATTGCGTGACTCCTGTGATTTTTCAAATTATTGATTCAATTATAATGCTCTAGAGTAATGCTGTAATACCATGAATTGTTACATTGTGTACTTCAAGTGAAGTTAAATGGCTCGACAAAAAATAGATTGCATTTCTTATTTCACTACTGTGGAATTATCATATACAGAATAAAAACACAAATCTGAGGTATCCTATACTGATATTTTTTTTATATTTGTTACTGTATGTACTCAAAAATATTTCTGTTCGTTAAAACGTGTTGAACACGTGTTCAAATGTGACAGTTGACAATAATCTATTATATTTTCGAAAAGAAAATGTCTTACTGTTGTTTGGAATTGGTAAAGTTTTTTTATACGAAGGATCACGCACACGGGATGTGGGATTTCGGAGATTGGTGAAATTTCCTGAAAATTTGCCATTTTATTTATTTTTTTTATACCAGAGTAAATGTTATTATGGGCTCCAAGCTCTATTGGCCTATAAGGCTCATCGACCTCTAAAATCATTAAAATTGGTTCCATGACTTTTATCTATCCCAAAATACAGTTGACTAAGGTTCAGTAAACTGAGATTGATTTTGGACAGCTTTGTGTTGCTGTACCTTCAAAGATAACTTGAAAAAGCGAAAAGCACTTTGTGCCTAAAGAAGTGCTCAAGTTGATATTAGCTGTCTAGTGGATTTATTCTCTTTCTGTGCTAAAGAACTTTCCGTCTGTAGCCCAACACCGGTGATGAGAGGTCTAGGAATATGTCCTAAGTTCTAGCACATACAATGAGTACATTATTTCCGTTTGTTTCTATTCTATTGGTGATAACATATGTTTTGTAAGAATCTTAGGTTTGATTTGTTTTAATTTTAATTCAGGATGCTTCTTGTCGAGGTAATATAATAAAACTATTCATTGGATAAGGAATTTCAAGTACTGCCTCACATGTTTTGTTTATGAATGGCGCTTTCAGTTCTCGCTGTTCGTTTTAAAAACACGAGTTTGCTTACTTCTTCCTAAATTTGCAGCATTTTGGGCTTCTAAGTCTGTGTCCAGCTAGACGGCTTTTGCACGATTTAAAGAAGCATATGCAGCTGCAAACATTGAGAACGATGTTGTGAATACACTCGCGGAGTATCAACGGGATCTGGCTCAGAGTAAACTAACATCAAATTCATTTTCAAATCCGACTTGCTTATAAATTAGGTTAAGCTATACACCTGGCGGCGCTAGATTATGCTGACTCACTAGTACCACAAAACATTACACTTATCACGGAAGAGGAGACTGGCCCATTTAGCTTAGAGTTTTCGGAACTTAATATCTTGGTTATCTTAAGGATGTGGTATATGCGTTACTAGGAAAATTTTATTATCTTTGTCTGACCTACACGCTCTGCAAAGAAAAGCCCCAACTTTGAGGACACACCCTGTATTTATTAATGATATACTCGAATAAAATTCTAATGTGGGGATAGACTATAGTCCATTTATTGAAGAAAGCAGCTCAACCTAAACATATTCACACACTCTTCACGTCCAGCACTAACAGGCCCAGCGAGGCTACATGCACCCCCGTATCGTCTCCCACTCCTAGCTTGGAATTGGTCCTGCATATTCTGCCCAATAACAATTATGATCACTGTTACTCGAAATATATCAACGTGCTGACCACGAACTGAACTCACGCTGGTTATTTTGGTTTAATATCTTTCTTGGATAAATAGACTTTAATATTGGTATCTGCTGGCATTCGCATTATGCAGATGAACCTGTTGAAAGTTTATCAGTGCATACGACTGGATCACAGCGTTGATGGACACATCTGTCGCCTAGTTCCGATGTTTGGTCCTTCACACATCTTTTCTTTGTTTACCGAACGAAGAAGAAGAAAGGGAACTGAAGACCTCGACCAACTCAGAAATGCACATTTCGCTACAAGGTCGGGAAACCTTAAGAAAGGAAAGGAAATTAATAAGGAATACTTTTAGGATATTTAACTGTTTTCCAAAACTCAATGCCGTGTGCGTGTGAGCCTTGATTATTTTCAGTTTGTTTTAAAAACGCATGGATTGATCACGTGATGAAAACTACTTCCCTTCCACGATAAAATGCCTGAGACGTACTCACAAGTTACTTAAACGTACATTATATGTGTAAGCTCTGTATAACATCTGTGAAGCTGGCCCAGATGTACAGAGTTAATATCATCGTAACCTTATAAGTGTATAGATGTATGTAGTATCACATATTATATGAATACACGTTAAAAATGTTGTTACCATAAAATATTTAATCTCATTCTCCACCTGAATGTATTATGTTGTTATACTTTGAAAGTTTTGTATTTATGTTCAGATTTGAAAGCTGTATAAGTATTTATTTTTGATTAAAATGATTATAGGATACAGATGTTTTATTTCTTTACGTAGACTTGAGGCTGTCTATTGAATATCTGAATACTTGAAAACGCATTTTTTAGGAAAAAAATGTTCTAAGAAAACTTTTAGGATATCTAAAAGGCAATTTGCGGATAGCCTAAAATGAGACCTACGCTGAAAAGTTCACGAACACCCCAAAAACTTGGCAACCACGCATTATGACCTAATTAATGTCCTTAGCTCATTATGCCCTGAATGATGACCTTCTGTCATTTGGAGGTCAAGTTTGAAAATTCATGCAGCAACTATCATTTTTGGCAGCAGATTCATGTAGAATTAGAGATTGTGCATGTTCATAATAAGGTCAAGTGGTCATAAACGGCTTCATCAGTATGACTTACTGTAACGTCTTAAAAGTGTACAAACATGCCAAAAATGTGGCAACCACGCATTTGATTGAAAAAAGGTTCTAGCGGCAGTTTCATGATATTAAATTGACGATAACTTCAAATATGCCCTAAATAATGACCTTCCGTCATTTGGAGGTAAAGTTTTAGAATCCATACCGCAACTATCATGTTTTTATTGGAAAATTATAAATGATTTCAAATTAAATCATAATCTTAAGCCATTTGGAGGTCAAGTTTGAAAATTCATGCAACAAGTATCATTTTTGGACGCAAATTCATGTAGAACTAGAGGTTCTGCGTGTTCATAATAAGGTCAAGTGGTCATAAATGGCTCCATCAGTATGACCTGCTGTAACGTCTTAAAAGTGTACAAACACGAAAAAATGTGGCAACCACGCATTTGATTGAAAAAAGGTTCTAGCGGCAGTTTCATGATATTAAATTGACGATAACTTCAAATATGCCCTAAATGATGACCTTCTGTGATTTGGAGGTCAAGTTTGGAAATTCATACAGCAACTATCATTTTTTTTTGAAAAAATTATCAATGATTTCAAATATGACCTAAATCATAATCTTAGGCCATTTGGAAGTCAAGTTTGAAAATTCATGCAGCAACTATCATTTTTGGCAGCAGATTCATGTAGAATTAGAGATTGTGCATGTTCATAATAAGGTCAAGTGGTCATAAACGGCTTCATCAGTATGACTTACTGTAACGTCTTAAAAGTGTACAAACACGCCAAAAATGTGGCAACCACGCATTTGATTGAAAAAAGGTTCTAGCGGCAGTTTCATGATATTAAATTGACGATAACTTCAAATATGCCCTAAATAATGACCTTCCGTCATTTGGAGGTAAAGTTTTAGAATCCATACCGCAACTATCATGTTTTTATTGGAAAATTATAAATGATTTCAAATTAAATCATAATCTTAAGCCATTTGGAGGTCAAGTTTGAAAATTCATGCAACAAGTATCATTTTTGGACGCAAATTCATGTAGAACTAGAGGTTCTGCGTGTTCATAATAAGGTCAAGTGGTCATAAATGGCTCCATCAGTATGACCTGCTGTAACGTCTTAAAAGTGTACAAACACGAAAAAATGTGGCAACCACGCATTTGATTGAAAAAAGGTTCTAGCGGCAGTTTCATGATATTAAATTGACGATAACTTCAAATATGCCCTAAATGATGACCTTCTGTGATTTGGAGGTCAAGTTTGGAAATTCATACAGCAACTATCATTTTTTTTTGAAAAAATTATCAATGATTTCAAATATGACCTAAATCATAATCTTAGGCCATTTGGAAGTCAAGTTTGAAAATTCATGCAGCAACTATCATTTTTGGCAGCAGATTCATGTAGAATTAGAGATTGTGCATGTTCATAATAAGGTCAAGTGGTCATAAACGGCTTCATCAGTATGACTTACTGTAACGTCTTAAAAGTGTACAAACACGCCAAAAATGTGGCAACCACGCATTTGATTGAAAAAAGGTTCTAGCGGCAGTTTCATGATATTAAATTGACAATAACTTCAAATATGCCCTAAATAATGACCTTCCGTCATTTGGAGGTAAAAATTTAGAATCCATACCGCAACTATCATGTTTTTATTGAAAAATTATAAATGATTTCAAATTAAATCATAATCTTAAGCCATTTGGAGGTCAAGTTTGAAAATTCATGCAACAAGTATTATTTTTGGACGCAAATTCATGTAGAACTAGAGGTTCTGCGTGTTCATAATAAGGTCAAGTGGTCATAAATGGCTCCATCAGTATGACCTGCTGTAACGTCTTAAAAGTGTACAAACACGAAAAAATGTGGCAACCACGCATTTGATTGAAAAAAGGTTCTAGCGGCAGTTTCATGATATTAAATTGACGATAACTTCAAATATGCCCTAAATGATGACCTTCTGTGATTTGGAGGTCAAGTTTGGAAATTCATACAGCAACTATCATTTTTTTTTGAAAAAATTATCAATGATTTCAAATATGACCTAAATCATAATCTTAGGCCATTTGGAAGTCAAGTTTGAAAATTCATGCAGCAACTATCATTTTTGGCAGCAGATTCATGTAGAATTAGAGATTGTGCATGTTCATAATAAGGTCAAGTGGTCATAAACGGCTTCATCAGTATGACTTACTGTAACGTCTTAAAAGTGTACAAACACGCCAAAAATGTGGCAACCACGCATTTGATTGAAAAAAGGTTCTAGCGGCAGTTTCATGATATTAAATTGACAATAACTTCAAATATGCCCTAAATAATGACCTTCCGTCATTTGGAGGTAAAAATTTAGAATCGATACCGCAACTATCATGTTTTTATTGAAAAATTATAAATGATTTCAAATTAAATCATAATCTTAAGCCATTTGGAGGTCAAGTTTGAAAATTCATGCAACAAGTATCATTTTTGGACGCAAATTCATGTAGAACTAGAGGTTCTGCGTGTTCATAATAAGGTCAAGTGGTCATAAATGGCTCCATCAGTATGACCTGCTGTAACGTCTTAAAAGTGTACAAACACGAAAAAATGTGGCAACCACGCATTTGATTGAAAAAAGGTTCTAGCGGCAGTTTCATGATATTAAATTGACGATAACTTCAAATATGCCCTAAATGATGACCTTCTGTAATTTGGAGGTCAAGTTTGGAAATTCATACAGCAACTATCATTTTTTTTTGAAAAAATTATCAATGATTTCAAATATGACCTAGATCATAATCTTAGGCCATTTGGAGGTCAAGTTTGAAAATTCATGCAGCAAGTATCATTTTTGGACGCAAATTCATGTAGAACTGGAGGTTCTGCGTGTTCATAATAAGGTCAATTGGTCATCAGCATGACTTGCTGTAACGTCTTAAAATTGTACAAACATGTCAAATATTAGTCAACCACGCATTTGATTGAAAAATGCTAACGGCAGTTTCAGAACACTAAATTGACAATAACTTCAAATATGCCCTAAATGATGACCTTCTGTCATTTGGCAGCAGATTCATGTAGAGATCGATGTTCTGCATCAGACTGTGTGTTCATAATAAGGTCAAGTGGTCATAAATGGCTCCATCAGTATGACTTTCTGTAACGTCTTAAAAGTGTACAAACACGCCAAAAACTTGGCAGCCACGCACTTTATTGAAAAACGGTTCTAGACGCAAGTGTTAGGATACTGAAATAAATTTGTCAATGACTTCAAATATGACCTAAATGTTCTAAATGACGACTTGAGGTCATTTGGAGGTCAAGTTTGAAAATCATACACCGTGGGGTAGAGGTGTTTTAAAACGTCATGGGCTGTGACCGTTAAATTATGTGGATGCGCAGAAGACAGATATTAGAGCGGCGGGAAAAATATTACCCTAATCACAAATATAGACTTTTTCGAGGCAGACTGTCTGCTGTCTGGCACACTGGCACTATGTGCTGGCACTCGGCTTTGAACATCCAAGGGAGAACTATCGGTACCCATTGGCGTGCTCGTATAGATTACGATTTTGTATGTTGGATTTCCTTTATGTTAGACCAGGGTTGTGAAGATTGTTTTTTATATTCAATATGTGAGTGTAAAAGTTTCGGAGATTGTAGCTGACTTATTGTATGAAACACCGTTAGCATTGAAGTTCGTATTGTTCTTTTTCATGTATAAAGCTTTGATAATCTGAGATGTAATGTATATGCGTTTAATTATGTTAATCAAATGTTGCTTCTAGATAGATTGGAACATATTACGACACGCTTCTATTCACATTTTGTTTGCGAACCGATTTCAAAGAAGCATGAACTTCAATATGATAATTTTACTCAGATCTATGATAATATTTTTTTCTTAAAAGGGATAAGAACCAGCACAAGGTTATTCATAGCCAGTGCCGCTAGTTTCTATATATGAGCTGTGAAAAGGAGGCGGGGAAGTCATTTTACCTCTAAATCAGCTGATGAATCGAGTAGCAGAGGCCACAGGTGTATCACTGAATACAGTCAAACGCATTGTGAAAGAAGGTTGGATCAAACTCACAGGCAATCAATTTGTCTCCCCAAGAAAAACTGTTTCTAAACCAAGTCAGAAATCAACAGTGGACAGGTTTGAGGCAGAGATAAGGGAAATAATTTATAAATTTGTCCATATTCATAAGCGGCGTCTTACCATTAAAGCCGTTTATGAAGCTGCAAAAAATGGAGCAAACCTTGCGGGAAACATTTCATAAATTAGGTTTTTGCTGGGACAAAGTGTAAGATAATTGGAAACTATTGATTGAAAAACAAGTAGATGAGTTACTTTATATGCATTTAAAATTTTTTTATTGGACATGTGACCAAAGACATATAAAATTTAAGCGTTAAGGTACATGAACGACAGCAAAAACTAGTGAATATTGTATGTATAGGTATGCATTAACAAAAATGTATTGAAAAACGATTTCAATGAAAGACCGCATACTTAAATGCAGATTTTTGTTTTCAAAATAATTTCCTCAAAGTCCGTAAAAGTAACAGTTTGCTCTAGGGGATACCTTTCCGCAGGTAGGAACATTGTATACAGCGATGTGGTGATTACCACCTTCCTATACTGAATAACCCAGTCTTACTTCTTCCATTAATGATTTGTCAGCTACCAGCTACCTACGCTACTGATTCCATACCACGCCACCAATGCGACGACGGCGAAACACACAATGAGGAACTATTATGTATAAGCCAGTTATATTGGCTCTAAGCACGTCATTGAACACTCAAATAGTAGGCAAACAACGTTTCGTAAGGGAATTAAATGAATATCAGTCTCAATGTTCCGTTAAAGAATACCCGTTCTGCAATCTATTTATGTTGTATCACCACACCAAATTATTTAATAAATAGGAGTGTGACAAAATTACCGAAATAATTTGACTGACCTACAGCAGACCTAGTAGCAGTTATGTTTTTGTATTGTGACGCGTCTGCTTCTCCACAGATTTGAATCCGCGCATGTCGTGTAACGGTCATGGCTCACGACGTTTTAAAACACCCTTCTATCTGCCACTAAACATCTGAGTGTCCGTGTTGGTGCTAGACGGAAAACGTAAGTTCCCCGCCTCTGGTCGAAGGATCTCGAACGCGCCGACAACTGCGCACCGTTGCCATAATGTGAACCGATACGCCAAAGTGTTCAATTCAAACACATCGAAAACTAGGAACCCACGCAACACGCATTCTTTTTTTCTAACAAAAGCATCAGATCATTTTTTGATAGCGTATATGAACATGCAGTCTGATGACTCTACACGAATTTGCTGCCAAAAATAGTTGTCGCTGTTTGGGTTTAGTTGACCTCTAAATGACCTCAGGAGGTTGTTTTCTACGGCTGGATATCGTTAGGATCTTGTTTCAGAAAAATGGATGGTTGTCAGGTTTTCATGCTGGTTATGCACTTTTCAGATGTTGCAGGTCATAATGATTGGACCACTTATGCCCGCTTGACCTCAAGTATGAAAATGTATTCTGATGTAAAATATTGACCTTCTGTCAAGAGTGGTGGTTGCTATTTGAATTAACAAGCCTCAAAATGACCTCTGAGGTCATACCTACACATCTCTTCACATTCACTTATTGCCCTATAAATGTTTACCTTGCTGGCATTTTGATTTTCTAACAGGTTTACAATTTCAGTTTTTAGTGAGAGTAAAGTTGGTGAATGTGGAATACTTTTCATTTGAAGTCTATAATTCCATACTAATTTGAGGCATTCAAATAAATCAAGTAGTTCCGAGATCTGTGAGGTTCTGTCAAATCGCTGGAGTAATTTAGGTCGCATATTTTGAGTCCATGCATTTGCAAAAATGAAATTATGCGAAGCGTGTAATATGTAGCCATGGAAAATTAGTATGGTAATGTGGAATGCTATTGAATAGTAGTGTAACATATTATTTTCTGACCAATTGTGTCCTTTTATTTCTTTGGAATGCATTTTCTGAAATAAAAAGTCACATATAGTCCAAAACATAAACAAATTCAATATCCTTAATCAGTAGGCCCGGTAATCTGGAACATACGAAAGTTGATATTTTGAAATATTCCACAATACCATTCCACCCTCACTCTCTCAAGTTTATGGCTAGCATCTTTAAACATGATTTAATAATTAGTTCACACATAATTTGATAATACATGTATCTGAGGCTTAACAACAAATAGTAATAATTAGAACAACGTTGTACTTTTCTTAGAAATACAAAAAAATGGCAGCCAATAGAGATTTTTTCGCGAGATCCCGTAGTGAACCGGAGAGGGAACAGATGGAATTTCCCCTTCCTTTCGAAGTTACAAGTTCAACCGGAAGTGGTTAGATGGCGCATATTGTGCAAAATGTTAACTTTAAGCTCCTTGATAAACTTAGCTGCCTTGTTTGAATCTGAAATAACAAGTCCGATCGTTTTCTGTGCAATGTACTTATATATCAATCAAATCAATCATTTGATATGAAAAGTGCGGTTCATATATCTTCGATGACCTTCTCCCTCGTTATTTAAAATCAGGTGGACGTGTTCCTTCATTTATGATTTAATAATTTAACTCAATTTTCAGCACTGCGGAGATAAATTTTCAATTGAGATGCCTGTTTTTAAATGCCATTGACATAAGACCTGTCCCCCGCTAGTACCTCGCAGACGTTAGGCGGGTACCCGCACCACGTGATTTTTTGACATTCGGACGTCGTCACAACCGTCTTCCCCTATTCCCGTTCTTCGCGAAAATTTGAGTATCCGTTCCCGGCAGTGCACTGTGCTACACCGTGGACTCGCGAAAAAATCCTTAATGTTTCAATATTCACGTTTACCGGGTTCACCAACTTTTTTGAGGTTATGCGCCTTAATCGATAAAACAGCTTGTATCTTGTATCAGATAGTTACGCTACTGATACAAGACTAAATAATACCATCGAAGTGCAGGTGTCGCTACTGGTTTTGGAGATATCTGAATATTCCACTCTACCAGCCTATTCCACATTCACCAACTTTACTCTACCGTCCGACTGCGCGAATTTTTTAGTACGACATTTTAAACTTAATTATTGAAACAATTTGACGTTAATCGATGAAAATAATCCATGTTATGCTTTCCTGCTTTATGGTAAGTAGACTAGATAGTTCGTGTAAAAATTTCAGGGAAAACTTTCTTTCAAAACTTCTGCCCCATACGAAAGTAGTAAGTTACACGCTATCAAAATAAGACTTCCTATATACTTTCGTTCGTTATTCTAGAGATCAAGCCTAGACCATCGTGATGAGTTGCCAGAAAAGCACAAAACAGCTGTTTGTGGTTGGCTGCTTTTGGTTGGAAGGACGGAAGCAGTATGTTTAAGTTAGACCCACTAAGAAAAAAGTGAGTTACGAATATGTATAACAGAGAAATTAACTGGATCATTAACAGATCCGTACTATTAGTTCAGAACATTATTTCCTTGACCTACCGTACTGTTCTGTTCATCTTTCAATGTCGTGTCGCCTCCTCCCAATATCTGAAAGCATTATGCGTCACACGCGGCAGAACGCCCGCTACAGAGAGCACCAGTCATGCAGGACACATCCGAACACCGGCACGCCGGCCACCACTGGTGAAGTCAGCAGATGCAAGGACGCTTATCGAAAACACTTTTCTGTCGCTGCAATCTATAATGTGTGAAATACGTCTAGTAGGTGCGTAGAATCATCGAGGCTAGAAGTGTATTGGTATACTAACGTAAAAAAAATGCGATACATACTCCCCCCAACTCCCTACAATTTCCCACCCCCAATTTCTTACTCCTAAGATTTTTTTCAAGAATGATCAGGATCCTCTGAAGTTTGAGCGATTTTTATTTTGGACTGGAGCGATTTTCAAAAACAGCAAAGATTTTTCGTTCTTGGCATAGCAGTAACCTTGTGTATAAATTTCATCACCTTCCAAGATATAGACGGGCTGAGGATTAGCGCACAAACGGACCATCAGACAAAGACCGACGAAAATGAGTAACATGGATTTAATTAACACAATCTCATTTCCGAAATTTTTCGCGATTACAATACTGCCTCGCTCAGTGGGGTAGAACGCAAAAATAGCATGAAAAGTCACTACAAAATAGCCCATTTCCAAAATACAGAGCGTTGAAAACTTTTCTGCCGCTAATTATACCCATTAAAGATAAGACAAGCGTATTTTTCAAAATAACGTTGTGCTGAGGTGGGATTACTCTTCAATATGTCTACTATACTACGTACAATTTTTAATATTAGATTTCAGCATATTTCCGAAGCAGAACGGATTTATATTTTATAAGGATAATACAGGTGCGGCAGAGAGGATGGACGGTTTTAAAAAAATCATAAAATAGTTAATTTTTACTCGAAAACAAATTTATTGATGGAATCAGGTTCACAAGGAGAGACAGTCAAGTGTGGAAAATCACATCAGGCATGTGGTGGCCTAAATCGTTGATGCAGTGCTGGAGGTGTTCTTGGAAGTTCGCGTAGACTCTCTCCAACATCGCTCTCTCAACACGCGAAGTTCGCCCTTCAATTCGTCCAGAGTTCGGGGCTTGTTCGCGTATACTCTAGCCTTGAGGTGTCCCCATAAGAAAAAATTGCATATGGATAAATCTGGGGACCGGGGAGGCCAATGAACATCGCCAAACCTGGAAATAAGGCGACCAGGGAAGAGAGGGCGAATAACGTCCATGGATGCTCGGGCTGTGTGGGCGGTCGCCCCATCCTGCTGGAACCACACACGTCGGATTGGAACACGTCGCCGTCGTAATTCAGGGAGAAAGAAGTTGGTGATCATGTCGACGTAGCGCTCTGAGTTCACGGTAACATCACGACCATTACCGTCTTCGAAGAAGTAAGGGCGAATGATGCAAGTTTGCGATACAGCGCACCAAACCGTTACTTTTGGGCTGTGCAGCGGTCTTTCGTGTAACTGTTGCGGATTTTCATTAGTCTAATAACGACAATTCTGCTGTTTAACCATGCTGTTTAGGTGAAAGTGGGCTTCGTCACTCATAGGCGAAAACGCGGTGCTCCACCGTCCAAGGCTCCAAAACGACAACTGGTAAAATAATGCTAGGATCTCACGAGTCAAACGGCACCCTCCCCACCTCTCTCGTAGACGGGGAGTACTACCCATCCCAAAAACGTCCGTCCTCTCTGCCGCACCCTGTACATATCTCAAAAATTCAAACAAAAAGAAAAACATTCTCAGGAGGGCAATTTACGAAAATCAAAACCCTAAAAATGTAATAGATGTTTTAGGGGTAGTTTTTCTAGCGGGCAGCAGATTCTCTCCATGCCAAAAATGTGTTTTAAGCTTAATGCGACTGAATTATTATTAATTTGCTTGGTACGATAATCAAAATGAAATCAATATCATACGCCCACAAATCTGATCAGAGCATAAGATGATGCATGGTACTAGTAATACCAGTAGTACCCATCGTTCGGTCTATTAGGATCTAATTGCTCTAGATATGTCCTAATTGTTGCCACCATGTTCATTGCGATATTTTTTATTTCTGTGATATTGTGTATTCCTGGACAGGCTGAAAAGTATTCAGAACGGTAAGTGTCTTGAATATTGTGAAAGAATGAGCCTTAATAAATTGTCACTTTGTTGTTCGTAGATTTTGGGTCAACTAATCTCAGTAACTGCTGCTTTAATGTTGATGAAATATATTCCCAAAAATGGCAAATTCGCTGTCCGTATTACATATAAATTCTGAACTGAGAGGTTCCTAAAATACCTACTGAATTAAATAAAAACGTTAAAGAATAGGGGCTTTGAAAATTTTGCCCATTAATGTTACGTGCAATTTGAAAAATAAGAATAACGTACAAAATTTTAAAATTCGAACGAGGTTGAACTTTTTTCTTACACTTCTATGAGCCGCCACTGGAGGGCTATCAAAAATTATAACACTTTTTCGCTCTTTCTGTCTGTTGTTTGTAGATTGCGATTTCGAGATGAGCTTCATTTTGAACACATTTGCAAAGTCACATCAGTGGCTTTCATGCCAGCAAACGTTATGTTAGGTGAAAAAACAGTACGTCACTGATTTTTGCCCAAAACCAATATGAATATTTTAACGCCCAATTATATACTGAGTGACTGAAAAAGGTAAACTCCTACGTATGTTTAAACGATTTTAATATTGTTTGGCATATATGTTCAGTGTCCCTTACTAGTGAAATGATTAAATTTCCAGCTTATAATGTGTTGAGGCTCCACGATTTCTTATACACTCATTGACACGCCTAGACCTCGTTCTGATAAGGTGGTTGATATCGTCATTCCAGGCTACTGCAACTTCGTGAGTAAGGGCTGCTAAAGTCCGTCAAGAGCCTGCGACCTATCATCTCCCAGACTTGTTCAATTGGAGAGAGGTTAGGCGATCGTGGTGGCCAAGGTAAACGGTTGATGCGATGTTGATCCATGAAGGCTAACGATGTTCTGGCAACATGCGATCTGGCGTTTAGGTATGGAATAAGATGAGGCTCCACTACTTCCTGAATATTCCTTCGGGCTGTCATATTGTCTCTGATGAAAATTAGAGGCGATCTGCTACCATGAGCAATAGCACCCCATACCATAACTCCCACGGTGTGGTGAACGTGACGCTCTCTGTCAAATTGTGGGTCACGGCTTTCGCCACATCGACTTCTCACTCTTGCCCGATCATCGTGCATCCCCAGACAGATCTGGTCCCATAGAATTCTTTCCCTACACCAGAGCAAACGGTTACGCCGATGTTCAGCTGTGAGAGGTAGCACCCAATGTGGGCGATAAGAAAAAAGGCCAAACTGTCGTATTCGGCGATATACCGTACGAGTACCAACCATCCTTCCATGCTCTTCAAACCACTGATTAGCGATGGCTCGAGTACTATTGAATCTGTCTCTCAAAGCCAGAAGGGTTAACCGGCGGCCTTGTCGCTCTGTGGTCCCTCTGAGACGTCCAGAACCGCTCGCTCGCTGTCCTCTGCTTTCCTGGGTCCACGCTTGTATACTTGAAACCTCTCTAAATTTTTCATTCAGCCGCACAAATCAACTAAAGCCAACAGTGGTAGTACAACTTTGACAGACCAAAGAGAAATAGCTGATCATTTCTGTGACTATTTCTCATCTGCTGCAGATAACTTGATCATATCGAAATATGGTGGTAATAATTTTGACAGTTCTAGTATCCATAAGTTAGATAAACATATTAGATCCATGACTGTACATGCGATTTCTCCTGACGAGGTTCATAGAGCTGTTCAAGAACTGAAAAACAAATCTACTGGAATTGAGGGTGCCACCTAAAACTCTCAAGTTCTTGGCTACATATCCTATTCATCCATCGTCATACTCATTTAATCTATCTTTAATCAATGGAGTTTTTCCTGAAGACATCAAATTATCTGTAGTTCTGCCGATTTATAAGAAGGGTGACACCGAAGCTGTCGAAAATTACCGTCCTATCACCTTGCCATTTAGTTTTTCTAAGCTCTTTGAAAAAGATCATCTACAGGTATAATCGAATGCATAATTTTGCAAATGCCTAAAGTATATTAACTAGTAAGCAACATGGACTTAGACCAGGTTGCTCCACCAATTCAGCTGCGTTCTCTCTTTTCTCCTTTATATACAATGTGTTTGGTCACGACATACCGATATTTAAGGGGGGTACTTTTCAGCTATTTTTATCGACAAATCCACCCCCCTACAATGCCCTACCTCACCCCCGTTGAAATGGCAGCCATTTTTATTTTTACGCTACGATTATGGTAGTGCGTGTATGAAAATTGTAATAACTGAGAACATAAGAGTCACAGAATGATAAATTTGGTGTCAACTGAACGACAACATGTTGTTCTAGCGATTATTGAAAAACTTGTCTTGATACTAACCGTCAAACATACTTAAAATCAGACAAAAACAAAAAAAATATGCAAGAAAATTGATTATCTTGTGCATTCAAAAACTAGTTTGTGAAGTACTTTTTTGTGCTAATTCTACAGCTATGTTATCTACAAAATGACAACAAATTTCTTCTACGTTAAGTAATAAATGCTATTTAACAGGGGTCAAAGTATACATAAAAATGACAAATCAAAGTTTCTTATAAATAGTTTGGAGATGTTCAATGTTACAGAAGCTGTTCAAAATGCCCCCCATTATTGGTTATGCACTTTGTAGTTCTTAAAACAATGTGTCGTGTTGAGCAGCGGGTCATATCCGTGTCAGCTCTAATTCCGTTCGCAGCGGAATGTATCCTTTCCACGAGTTCTTTCCATGTCGCCGACATATGACAGTAGACTTTTTGCTTCATTGTGTCCCAGAAAAAATAATCTAGGGTCGTTAAATCGGGTGATCGGGGTGGCCAAGCGACAGTGCCTTCACGTCCTATCCATGGAGAATGTTGCCTATCAAAATGATCTGGCTCAAAAGCGTGAGGGAGCTCCAACCATATATGTTGCGGTGGCTGATAAGTGGCGTATGTCTGAAAACTCGGTACTTAAGAAGTCCAAAAATCCCTGGCCATCTAACCTTGGAGGTAGCTCAACTGGGCCGACTAAAACTCCGTCGATCATTCGGGCCCACATGTTTACATCAAATTTTTGTTTATGATCCCCTGCCTCGTAAATTTTGCTTCGTCCGTCCATAGAATTTTTTGTGACCTTGAACTATTTATAATAAACTTTTATTTGTCATTTTTATGTATATTTTGACCCATGTTGGATAGCATTTACTACTTAACGTAGAAGACTTAGGATAACAAATTTGGTGTCATTTTGTAGATAACATAGTTAGCTGTAGAATTAGCACAAAAAAGTACAACTTCACAAAGTAGTTTTTGAATGGTGTGCGAAAATGCACAAAATAATCAATTTTCTTGCATATTTTTTTCAAGTTTTGTCTGTTTTTAAGTATGTTTGACGGTTAGTATCAATACAAGTTTTTCAACAATCGCTAGAACAACATGCTATTGTTCAATTGACACCAAATTTATCGTTCTGTGACACTTATGTACTCAGTTATTACAATTTTCATACATGCACTAGCGTAATCGTAGCGTAAAAATAAAAATGGATGCCATTTCAAGAGGGGTGAGGTAGGACATTGTAAGGGGGTGGATTTGTCGATAAAAATAGCTGAAATATACCCCCCTTAAATATCGGTATGTCGTGACCAAACACATTGTATAGTCAACTAAATAGAAATAAATGTACACTAACAATATATTTTGACCTGACTAAGAGATTTGATTGCCTACAAACAACTATTTTATTAATAAAATTGGAAGAGTATGGATATAGGTATCTCATAAATGACTGGGTTCAGTCCTTCATGAGAGATCGCAAAATTTGTGTTGAAACTGTCAATGTTACATCTCATTGTAAAAATATCAATATTGGTATCCCTCAAGGTGGAGTGTTATCACCGTTTTGATTTTTTTATTCATCAATGACTTGGATGGATATATCAACGTTGATGATACTCTCATTGTGTTGTTTGCAGATGACATGTCCATAAGTGTAGCGGCTGACACACCGGAAGAATTTGAGTCGAAGGTTAACTCAATATTAGAAAAGTTTCAGTCTTGGATAACGAAAAATAAGCTAATAGTTAATGAAAGCAAAACCAAATATATGTTCAATTATAAACATAAACTACCAACTGTTATCACGTTGAAGTTCTTGACAGGGTTGAACAAAGTTTTTAGGGGTAATAGTGGATGAGAGACTCAGCTGAAAAGATCATCTAGATTATGTCTTAAAAAGACTAAGATCAGCTTATTTTGCGTTGCGTAACTTGAAAAACATAATGTGTACCAAGGATTTACTAAATGTCTATTTTGCAACCGTATATCCTCATTTGAAGTACCTCGTTATCTGCTGGGGTTGCTCTGTGGGTGCTCAGCGCGCATTCATATTTCAAAAGAGGATTATACGGTTAATATTTTCGTTGAGCCATCTACAGACTTGTAGTACGACCTTTCAATCAAATTGTCTGTTGAAATTTCCCAGTGTTTTTATACTTGAGGCTTGATTATTCGTAAAAAATAATTATAATAAGTTTACATACATTGAGGACCAGCAAAAATACAAGCTTCGCAACAATAAAGACATATGTATTGCTAATTGCAATCTAACCGCTTATCGTAAAAGCCCTGAGTATGTGTGCCGCTATATACAATCATCTACCTAATGATAGTTTCTACTAAGTCTTTTAGAAAACGTGTGCAAGCATCTTTGGTAGAAAAATGCTATTATTCTGTTGCTGACTTTTTATCGATTTTGTCGTAACTTTATTTCATTGTATTCAATGTATTTTGACGTTTCATATCCGCGAGGCTGACACATGAATAAAAGTTATTATTATTATTATTTTATTATAAATGTATTTTATTAACTTGCGCATTACTTAAAGAAGTGGTATCAGATGATACTTTTGTACGAACATAGAGGAAAAGTTAAAAAAAGCACAATCAATATGGCTCCGAGAAAATGGCACTTATTTTTGGAATAACCACTAGTGTACAATATCTCGTCAAACATGAAAGTTTACGCATAAAATTATTATAAAACGAGGCTTTTTCGGATCCACTTCCATAGCGTTACGTGATGAATTTGCCTTTAAGTTCTAACACCCTGTTTATTTTGCTGGAAGTAATACTCATAGCTAACGTGTTTTCACGAGTTTTATTTGACGAGTACAAAACAATACCAAAAAACATTACACTTAAATAATACAAAATAATTATAATTATATTATAAATAAAGTTGTATGAAATTATAAAATACTAATTTGAATCGATACAATGTAGCACCTATATTCAGCTTTCCGTTTTTATACATAACGTATTGCATTGGCTTTAAATTTAATAAACACAGAGTAATATCACGCTGCCTTTGGAAACAAAAGTTTGTGTGCTTAGTTTACTGTCAGTTAACATTTATATATTTTGAAGTTTTCGCTCTAAGATGTCGAAGTTAGAAATAAGAAAAAATATGTACAAGTTGGTCGGGTTGGTACACTGGTATATACCAAGACGTCGCGTTAAACAGAAAAGTCCGGTTCATATTTGATTCACCCTCATATAAAATATCCTCTCTATGTTTTGTAGTTTTTTTATGATTTTTCAAAACCCTCAAGGCGTCGCAACAACAAAAAACTTTCCTTGTATCATTACTTGTATTTTTTTATTTACCCTTAAATTTATCGTAACCTGATGACTGTACGACAAATTTTCATAAAAAAGAATTTAATTTAACTCCCTGCAGAATTGTGTAAATTACTTTTTACATAGGATTGACGGTTTCGGAGATTTTCGATAGAAAGTTTTTCAAACTGGCGGGCAAATACTCCAATTTGAACTTAAACCAAAAAACTTTACTGTCACCAAAATTGTAGGAAAAACATTACCTGTCCTGGCCTAAATAGAGAAAGCTATCACACAAACAAAATAAAACACCACGTGAAATACTGATTTTTGCGGGTAACTTGGAATACTTAGTTATATAAATAAATAAAGGGTACCGGGAAAAAAACTGGATGTCACAAAAAGTAAGTCTTTCACTTTTGTGAATTCAAAAGTTTGAAGACTCCTAGACTCGTTGTACATGGTGGGTCAAAGATCTGACGGAGTACCATAGATTCCTTATTACAAGAAATTGAGAAAAGTTAAATTATAAATACAAAAATATTTTCTGATACACAGGGTAGCCCAAAGTGAAACAAGGCCAAACATTTTTTAACGGAAAATCCTTTTTATTTTTGTATTTTGAGATTCTCCTTATGATTTTTAGCATTTTTTATGCGTCAGCGTCTATGCCTGAATTAAACATTTTTTGAGATATAGAGGGCAGAAAAAAACAATGAACCAAAAAATCTTACTTAATGTTAATTTTTTTGACAGCCATCTTTTTCCCCTGTACCCATCAAATGTAAACGTTATCTGAATTTTTTTGCCGTGAACATAATGTCGTAAGTCACACGAAACGACAAGTACTAAAAACAGGACGCCATCTTGACATTTCCCCCACGGAAACGAGACGCCCACTTTGAAAACTTTTTCGGTAAGAATCCAATCATTGACAATGGTTTACGTAAAATCCTTCATTGTAATTATTTGAACTGTTATGTGTCCTTGATAGTTTACAATTTTATTTTGACTTTGTGAATATATTTAGAATAACAGATGTGACATGGAATTTTAAATTAGGATGTCAATATTGTATTTTGATAAATATTTTGTTGGGGTTTCTGGTTTTTGTTTTGTTTGATTGTTTATATGAATAAATTTAATAAAGTCCCAATAATTTCCAAAAAACAAACCAGTATGTCAAATATGCTGCAGTTCCTCTACCTTTGACGAGCACAATATAATTTTTCAATTGTTCATAGGCTTGAAGACTTACTATTTTCTAGAATATCCATCACACAAGGCACTTTTGTTTTCAATTCTCGGTGCTTCCCTTTCAAGCTAAGAGTATCCGCTTTTTTCTAGTTAAGTCAGAGAGTGACGGTTATGTCTTATTTCCAGTTTATTTCCAATAAAAATGGTTATTCAAATGTAAGAATTGACATTGCCATACCAGTTTCATGAATCTTCCATCTTCAATCTTCTTTAGCGAGGTTGTTTAATGTGGGAGGATTCTCAACATTGCGTATAGAATGGTACGCTGTATAAATATTATAGGTAGTTGCACCATCGATTGACTGGTTTAATTGGTTCTAATGATATCCTAGCTGCTTCAAAAAATATGGCTTTAATTCCTACCATGTATTTTGCAGAGCATTCCATGTACCTGGCGGCGTTGATTTTTCTTGCAACTTTCATTCCTTCACTTTCAGTTACTGGATGTCGCCCCTTTTTCCTAAGATTAGTCACAACATCAGGGTCGCTTCTGAGGTCTAGTTTGTTTCCTACAAGAATAACAGGAATCCCAGGCAGAAAATGCTTTACTTCTGGCCACCACTTTTCCCGCACGTTCCACAATGAATCTGGTTGGTCGATGCTGAAACAAACTAGCACCACGCTGGTCCTAGGATAGGAAAGTGGTCGTAACCTGTCATAGTCTTCTTCCCCAGCTGTGTCCCAAAGAGCCAAGGTGATTTTTTGTCCATCAAGCTCTATATCCTTGGCATACGTTTCGAATATCGTTGGTACATATTCCTCAGGGAACTCATTTTGGCTGAATGTTGATAGCAAGCAAGTTTTTCCACAAGCGCCGTCACCGACTACAACAATTTTTTTGAGAAGATTCATCACTGTGCTGTTGGCGGACTATCTTTATCTGTGTTTTAAATTTGTTTTAGATAAAATTTTATCTTATCTCATCGGAGACTTTGTCACAGATTATGACATAAGGAATGAATTACGGGTGGCATCCAAATACTGTGATCTTAGTTGTAATAAAAGGTTATGCACAGCTTTAAAGCCCTCCCCACTTTATCTTGAACGGGTCACATTAGGAAGCTGAAATTCTGGCCGATAAAATTGATGCATGAATACTGTATTTTAATGGCGGTAGAGCGTCGTCTTTTAAATGCAATGGGGGGTCGTGTGTAATGCTACAATACTGAATCGTTTATAACTCAGCTGCCAATCAAAACCTCATAGTATCAATCAATGGCGGATTTAGACGTCCGGCACTTGCTTTTGTAATTTAACACCATTGTGTTGCTTTCTGACACATCACGGCGACAGAGGCATACTAACTATAAGTTATAGCTATAGGAACTGAGCATTGCGATTTTTGGTATCCTTTGATGGTATTCCAAACGCTGTCCCTCTTCGACATCACTTACGTTTACAGCACAATTCTTACGATTTATACGTATATACGAGTATTGTGACTTGTGACAAATCTAAGTGTAAGCAATATATTGGCTATACAGATTGCACTTAAAAAGTGATTTATGTTCTGTTTGTTGCTCAATAGTAATTTGAAAAGTTTGACTCATTTTGTTCGGGGTTGGTGTTGCAACGAAGCACTATTAGTCTAATCATATTAGACGATTAATTCTAAAGTCTGGTTTTATTGCTGCAAGTTGCTCAAGGATGTATTCAAAACATGGACGCATAAAAGGGGTACACCAATTTTTGTGGGAAAACTTTATATTCGACAACAAAGAATAAGAAAACGTGTTTTTTGGGATTCAATCTAAATAATTGGCAGGGACGAAAAAACTCTCATTATATGATTTTTAAGTATTTATGAGACCTACAAAATGAGACCACACGTAAAAAGATCCTACTAATAGCAAAAAAGTTATCGCCGAAAACCGAGGCAGGGGCCGTTCGAGTATTACGTGAGCACAATCGGGGCCTTGGGGGTTCTTTGCTTTGCTTATTTTGGATGACATGGGGGGTAGGGGAGTCTAGATGATGATTACGTCATCGGTAGTTATTTACTTTTTTACACGAATGGCAACCCCCACATTGTCTTTCCTTGAAAATGAAACGCATTTTCGGGGATTCCCGCAAATAATGCATACGCTTAGTGAACAGCACGCGGTAATTCCCCTACTCGCTTTAGAGCCGAGTAGGGGAATTACCGCGCGGTGTTCACTTGTCTAAATTTCCTCTATCAGTGTATTGTTTCGTTTGGATACTATAGCGAGTAGACGTATTGTAAGCATAGTAAAACAAGTTAACATTTGTGTTACCATTGATTCCATTAGCCAAAGTTTAATGTTTAAATAAGATGTCGTTTCACATATACAAATCCAAGTTATACCAAAAATTGTTTGAAAGTTTTAAAAAATCTCATACAAGTACGAAAGTACAAAATGTACAAAAGTTAGTTAACGAAGTGTGGCGAAATTACAAATTACAAGCAAAATCCGACAAGGAACTAGATATTATTGTATCTAAGAGAATCGAAGAAGAATTGCAAGCGGCGACTAAGAATAAATCCAGTCTACTAAATTTTTTTCTAAGGTGAGTGACGAAATCATTTTAGGTACGTACTAGAAATAATAGAAATGGCCAAAAAGTTTCTCTTTACTGATTAGAAAATATTATGGCCTATCTCAAAGAGGTAATATTCATTATATTATAGATTTATTTCTTATGATTGATTCCGTCAATTGGTCACAAAGTACAGGATGTTAGTTTTATACATATATACAGAAAACTCACACCCTGTATTTTGTGACCGGAACGAATTGCTCGTTTAAACATATTAGATTTAAAGCCATAGGGTTTTGTATTTACCGTATATATAGCCATACTTTGTATTTATGTAGCTTAATAAGAGAATCTTTAGCAGAAGCCATAGAAAGTTTGCATTTTTAGGCAACCTGTAACCCTGCAGAAAAAACACAAATTATACAGTCAGCTTCAAATATTAAAAAAAGAGGAAGAAGATAAAATAAAACCCGGTAATGAATCACAACAGCAACGCGAAATTAATGAAAATACAGATAAACAGACAACAAAACCTTCTCAGGAAGCTATGAAAAATAGGATTGCTCTACTCGAAAAAAATCTGAATGCTTTGTATTCTGCCAGAGATACTATTCCAAGCCGTGCTGAACTTGATAAACAGATCATGAAGTTGCGCGAGGAAATAAAAACAGCAAAACAGTCTTTAAACAGGAAGGTTCAAAACGCAGTTGCCCAGAAGAAACACAGGGATGGTATGAAAAGAAAGTTAGAAGATATTTGTCATGAAAATCTAGAAATAAAAAAAGACTATCTCTGAGAGATTCAGTGGGACGTCCTAATCTTGAAAGCAATCAACATTCACTATTGAAAACAATCGCGGATATAGCTTTATTTGGGAGTGCAGCAGATGATACTATAGAAGACGAACGGAATCAATTCGCAGCGTAAAAACTCTTAATGAATTCACACAAGAATTACGTAAAATAGGATTTGACATTAGTCGCAGTGGGACATATCTTCGTTTGATTCCCAGAAAATCTAATTCTGCAGAGGGACGAAGACATGTATCGACAGTTCCTGTTAAGCTCATTCGGGCTCAAACTGATCACCACAAGAGCCACTTAGATAGCAAGTTCGCTGAAACATCAATCCATTATTTAGAGAACATAGCATCCATACTTGGGCCAGATCAAGTATTTTTCATATCTCAAGATGATAAAGCTCGAGTCTCTATTAGCGTAACTGCGGCAAATAAGCAAGCACCTCTTGTAATGCACATGGAGTATAGAATCAAATTGCCTGATCACGATTGGGTAATAGCTGAGCGTCATAAATTAATACCATCTGTTTATGCTGGTATCAAAATCACTTTTAATATGCTAGGACAACCGCAAGCCGTTGGATATTCTGGACCAACATACATCGCTATTCGAAGTGGAAAGCATAGTTCATCTACTGCTAATACTCATGCTCAGGATTTCGAGATGCTTCTCGAACTTGAGAGTTTCGACCACTAGCTAAAACTGACCATGGACTAGTAAAACCAGTGGTAATCATGACGGTTGATGGAGGGCCAGATGAAAATCCACGTTATCAAAAAGTCATAGGGTTTGCTATACAACACTTTAAGCGACATGATCTCGATGCATTGTTTTTAGCTACCAATGCTCCTGGAAGAAGTGCGTATGACAGCGTAGAGCGCGGAATGGCTCCTCTTAGTCGGGAACTGGCTGGTTTAATATTGCCTCATGACCATTTTGGGTCTCATTTGGATGAACGTGGCGTTACAATTGATGAACATTTAGAAAGATCTAATTTCGAATTTGCAGGAAATGTATTAGCTGAAGTATGGAGTTCAATGGAAATTGATGGCTATAATGTTATTGCAAAATATGTTGGGGCAGGTGAACAACATCTTCCTGATTTTCCAGACATTAAATGGTGTTCAGAACATGTGCGTGAGAGCCAATACTTGCTTCAAATTGTAAAATGTAGAAATACAGAATGCTGTCGTCCAAGAAGTGGCCTATTTAGATTACTAGACAACAGGTTTCTTCCACCACCTGTAAAAGTAAAACAAACAGTTGATGACTTGGTTTTGGATGGAGGGCAACTTCTTAATCTTCCAGTCAATTTAGCTCTACGCTTAAGTGCTTCACTCAAAGATTTCCTGAAAATGCCCTACGATTATTTTTGTCCGACGGTAAAATTGAGCCTATCAAGTCGAACATGCAAAACGTGTGGCCTTTATCATGCTTCCGTCAAGTCACTAAATCGTCACAGCGAAAATATCCATAAAAAAGTAAACACGCACACTGATAGGAAAGTTAGACCTGTAAGAGTCGCTGCTCGTCGTGCTAATTAACTGATGTGCATTATTCAAAATTTAGAGCACCATGATGTTGAATGGCTCGATGAGAACAACGGAGACATCCCAAAATCCGATGAAAGCGAGCAAACTCACAACACTGAGCAGCAATCGAAGCAATCCAATGTCATCGAAAACTTAGAATCATGGATTCGGGTTTCATGGACTGAAGACTGTTAATTTGAATTTAATATATGTACCAAAAATTTAAAATAAGTTTGTTATGATAGTAAGATATAATATGTTTGTCCTTTACTCTATGTTGAATACCGTATCAGTAAAATATAATCTCTATCCTAAATCTATTTTCTTATTTTTCAAATTATAATTATAACGTTATAATTTTAATATTAAAAAAAAAACAATACATTAATTGACAAATGTTTACGTAAGCATGGGGGGAGGGGGTAAGAGCGTTGCTTGCTTTTGCTGACAAGGGGGATGGGGGGGGTAAATAATTGTAATAAATCTGCTTACGTAATACTTGAACGGCCCCCAGGTGTTGGTAGGATTGGTTCTTCTAAATAACCACAATAAAATTGGAGTAGATTGGCGAAGTAGCTTGTGAGAATTTCTAATTGCTTATCCCAAGACATCCGTTTTCCGGCCATCATTACTAGTTTTTTTGAGCATTATACATGGGTTAGTTCAAAGGGCATTTTACAGCAAAATACACTAGTTTACCTTGCCGATATGAATCGAAAACTATTCCGGAAGATAAATGTTATTTTTATGCAAAAAAGGATGGGTTACGTTTTTCTTATAAATAAATTCAAACATTTCGTATTTGTGAGTAACTCGCAACAAAAGATGATAGATACATCCGCTTTGTTGTAAAATGTGTATAGTACTCGTAACATATGTATTTCGAATATCGTAGCGCATTTGCTTAATTACTCATAAATACGAAATATTTGAATTTGCTTTGAAGAAAAAACGTAACCTTAGTTTTTCGCATAAAAATAAGATTTATCTGTCGGAATGATTTGTAATTTATATCGGCAAG